TCGTCGTTCTCACTCCAAATTTACATTACCGTTCAGTTATATGTGTGAAAAAAAGCAATGTGATGCTCAACATCGTCAATTCATATATGCTTCTCATCCTTCCACCAACGAGGCATACTGTGATGTTGGAGCGTTGGGTACCACTTCTTGACCATGATTGTTTCTCAATAAGCTTTTAGATATGACGAAGTAGTGCATCGTTTTATTAGCTGACCAAAGTCTTCACTATGCTATGCCCTCTCCTTTTTGCACGGTATCAGGATTATTCTTCCCACGGTATCAGGATTATTTTTAATGTTTTTCACGATGCGACCTCTCCTTCTTGCGTGCCGCAACAGATTAGTTTTTTTACGCGTAGCTTTCTTATAGTTGACACTAGGTAGAAAGCAAAATTTCGAAGAGTCGACCATTCTTGCAAACGTCTCCTTATGACCTCGATAGCTTGATCTAAAGGTTTTGCGTTATTCATGCATGCTGTAGACGAAAATCGTTTAAGTGCGCTCAACAAAAGTAATCGGTATTCTTGAATGCTGTCGTTTGAGAGGAGAAAGAGAAACGGCTCTTGAGAGCTTACATCAAATAATTAGACGCAATCGAGGTGTCTTATGTAGACAAAACCTCTGCTCGCAAAATCTTGAAATATTTATGTTCCTCAGACAACGTTTAAACAGAAAATTTGAGACGTTACAAAAATATAAAGTAAAAATAAAACTGAAAAATCGTTTTGTTTAAGAATTTCAGTATGGAGTCCATCTCGGAGTGGCGTAGCGCCATGAAGCGCCGCTATGACCAAGTCGGACCAATGTTCGTTTTGCCTCTGGGCTAACAAAATCGACCCTCTAGAGACGTTGAATTGTTACCACTAGTCTGGGAGGATAAGTGCACTGACTTGGTAGTCGGTTGACTCCGCGTAAGTCAATGTAAAATGCTCGCAGTATTTAATAGCTTCTTCAGCAATGAAGTGGAGCGCCTTCGGCGCATGATTGCAAAGGGTATCAAAAACGCCGAATTCTTTATCCTTTTGTAAAATATATTTTTATTGTCATCCCTCAATTCTTTTAAGCACTTCTTTAGACTTCAGCAATTAGCTGTTCATAGATCATTTCTGCTCCTGTTTGTGCAGTTTTGCGCATTTGATGTACGTGGCATCACGTCAGTTTGAGCATCACGTTAGTTGAACAACCTAAAGTGTTTATTCCAACTTTCCGCTTTTGCACACTACCTTCGCCAATTCGACTTGCAGCGCAGTAAGTGTTTGCGGCACTTGGCAGGACGGCCTTCTGACAGTCATGCTTGTTATCTCAAAGCATAAGAGGGCAGGCGGTCGTAAGTGGAGTTTACAAAATTCTTTTAAGATAGTCAGCTCAATTTGATTGAAGTGACGAGGGATTTGCTAGTGGCCTTCGTCTCCCTTCAGCTGCCTTCCTACATTCCTTCCTTTGATAATTCCAGAATGCTTTTCTAAGTCACTCGAGGTAAATTTAGGGTCTCGAGGTAGGTATTTATAACTCTTTGGTTGCCTGCAAAATACCTTTCGAATTCGAGCAGTCGTCGAAAAATCAGCACGATAATTTGAAAGTGTCGAAAATTACTCGTTCTAATCTCTTCAGTATCTGCACCATCATGAACTCCTAAGTGGCAAGTGTTCTCCTCCAGATTTCGGCTAAATAGTACTTTCGCTTGAAATCGATGATTTAATGCGCAAAAATTGCAAAGTCGCGCAATATTCAGCAGAAAGCAGGTCAGAATTCTTCTAAGCTCATTTAGTATCTCCGCCTTCTTCAAAGCCTCCAAGATATTTAAGATCCATTGCCTGAATGTCCTAGATAGCAAGTTGATAACGAGATCCATGGATAAACGAAGAGAGAAGAAGTTAACACTTCTTTACAGCAAATAAAGCGATCACCTTGCGCTGTTAGCGACCATAGAGCATGTAAGTCACTCAAGCACACTAAACAAGCTCACTTAAATAAGCATGTACTCTTCGGGACCCACTGTTTTCGATCGCGCGCTGGTTTTTTTTTATCGCTTCACTTAATATTTGATTAATGTATCACTTATTCTATTGAAATGTGTCAGGGTTTCGTCACTGGCTCATCATTCGAAAAATTGAACGGTCATTTATCCGAATAGCTAACCTGTATTTTTTACTCCACTCGTTCATGTGTATGGCCACGTCCCTAGCATGTGCAAAGAATTTTCATTAGCTTCACTTGATTTAGCAGAAAATTCATTATGTCGCCTATATTTGTATGCACTTTATGCAAGAGCTCATTTGGAAAATTTCAATGGCAACTCTCGCATTTGCTAATTTATCATCTTTTTTGTGTTATTCGATACGGTAGCACAGCATCACATCGCAAACATTCTTACCAATCAACTACCCATTCAGATCTTCTCCTACAAGAACCGGTAGAAACATCGGCGAAGAAGGGAGCGGGTGAAAATTCATGCTACCAACTAGTTCATTTTATGGTAGCAAAAATTGCAGGGTGGCCATCCTGTTTGTATTTTCATGATTTCAAATCTTAAAATGCGATTTCCTTTCTAAATACTGCACTTTGCCTGAGCACTTCATCCGAATAGGGCAACTGAGCTTGCGATGGTTGCCAAAGGGCAAAAATCTGAAGTGTTCTTGTAAGGCAAATTAGTTTAGAAAAACTTTAGACGCAGAGGTCGGAGAGCCCCGCACAACGGAAGGAGGAGAAAATGAGAATATATGCTTACATAGATGCTTCTTCTTGCTGGTCATAGTAAGGTTTACCGCAAACTTACTGTAAACAAATATATGATGTATCGTAAAAAGGTAGAATTAGCGCAATGACATCCATTGGTTGCGAGGTCAACCTTGGAGGTAGAAACAGAATTTTTTTCAATTGCTTTCATTTTCATGGCCTTCTCATTCTGAATTATATGGTATCATGGTAAGGAGAATACATTTGCCTATTTTTGTTCTACTACTTGAGTAGAAAAGTAATTTAGGACGTAGGTATAAACAGTTCACCTCTAACATGATAAAGTTTTGTCTGAACTTCAGAACTGAGGTGAGTTTGAGTCCGCAAAGTGAAAAGAAGTTATGAATAAATATAGCCAAAATTCTTCTATGAAAGGTTGGATATTACTAAAATTTTATGTCACAATTTAAGAATTGGTTCATACAAAGTGATAGAAACAAAATTCATTATTCTTCAATGATTTCATGTCTGACCATTCTGATGTTAGATCTTTCAATGTGTGCATGACTCAGGTAATTTTTTTTTCTTTCCCAATGATCCCAAATACCATTAGCCTTTGAGTCCTTTTTAACGTCAATTCAAGAAAACATTTCCAACACCAACACTCAAGTGGTCATTATTATCAAGAATAGGAAGATAAGATCACAAGATCGCCCATATCAGTTTTTTCCTGCTATAATTGTTGCTATTTGTTTTACTCTTCATTTCTCAGACACCCCTTATCCTCTCATTGTTCTTTTTTAATCTTGTTCCTTTATGCTTTGCAGGATCTATGCTAGGGGCGGGGCAGGAAATGAACAATTGACCGTGGGGATTTATGTACTTCCGCACAAGCTTTTTTCAGATTGACTTCTATGTATTTGGCTATAGAACAAGGTGCAGCTTTACTAAAATTAAGTATCACGTGTTTACGTTTGGCTTCGGATGTTTTTAGAATGAAATTCTTTCTTCGCGAACTGCTACGGTGGCTGGGGAGACGGTCAAGAGGCGCGATTTCTTTGGCTGTCACCAAGTTAAAACTCCAGTTTAGTGTATACGAGTCTTCAAAAATTACCGGATAAAATGCATTAGCTTACTATCTGTTTTAGGTCGCCACTTGCTGAGTTTCATGGTTTTTGCTATAAATCGGACTGAAATACTTACGAATTTGTTCTGAAATGCATTTTCATAAGTTTTTGACCTTCAAAATTGCTCTTTTTAATTTCTTCTAGAATAACAAGATTGAACAACTCATGCAGCTACATATCTAATATATCTTCTTCTAAATTTCATATACTTTCAGAGAGCTGCAAAACACTTATTATGTGCTATTCGGTGCCCAGCTGGCAATAAAAATCGCGCCTCTTGACATACACCCCGGTGGCTGTTGCTCAAAAAAATTTATTTTTATTTTGCTTCCTTTCATTTCGCGCATTAAAAATTGTTTTTCTGCTCCATAAAAAATTCATGCAACTGCAAGTCATTTTTTACAAGGTTCAAACATATAAAATGTTCCATTTCCTTGCGTTTCCATCCCTTTTTCATTTTTTTGGATAGTCCAATCCTACCTTCTCTCAAAAGATGCCCATGGGGTAATTGCATACTACAGTTTTACCTTTTTTGGCTCAAAGTTCAAAATTCTATTACATTGCTGCTCCTACATAGGCAGTATACCATTTTTATTGACTTCCTGTCATTGGCCAGAAATTGTCAGCATAAAAAAATCAATTTGCACATTAAGTAACACTTCTTACTTAACCAAGCATAAGTTTTCAAATAATCTGCTTCCTGTTCAGAACCATCTCTTCGTCTTTTTCTGATTCGCGTACTTTGCAAATTTCCGCTTTGAGAGCCACAAAACTTCTAGAGATGTTGTAGAGGAGTTCGGTAGTCGAAACTATGTCGATGCTAGTAAAAAAAACTAGCATTTTTGGATTTTTGTTTTCCAGCATAACTATTCTTGCTTTGCCCTGTTCGCTATTCTGAAATTCATTTATATCTTGTAAATTTTGTATTGTCCAATTATATGAAAGTAAAAACTCATTCCATTTGAAAGATAGTTGACTTTCAGTTGTGCCACGTTTGGAAAAAAAACCGACAAATCAGCTATTTTTTGATATTTTCTGTTCCATAAAATTTCCCCCGCTGTCCCCGTTTTCTTGTGCAAAATTCTTAACAAATGTTTACTTTGTGGCTTTATGTCACCGCATTGCTCATACTGTATCGTGTGTTGGTGATTCGCTTGTAACCTCTTTGCTTTTCATTTTACGCAAAACTGCACCGATCTCTTTAGGTAACCAACCATGTCGAGTTGCGAGTCATCAACACGCTCGGAGATTCGCTCAGTGTTGGTACGGCATTGGCGTACACTCGATCGAGCTCGACTTCATACTTTACACCTATGGATGTTGATCTACGCTGTCGCACAGATATTTATTGTCTATTATTTTAGTGAAGTTAGTGAGGTGTGGTTTTTGAAATTTTGTGGTTGAAAAAACCTCTCCACAAATCTCAAATTAGGACAAAATGAGGACAAGTTATATCTAAGAAATCGTCCATGAAATCCATTTGATTCCGATTCTACTCCCCACCTCCCCCCCCCCCCTTTTTTTTTAGCCACCGCCTCGTCTGTTTCTGCTCCATGGCATACAGCTCGTTGAGATTTGAAAGTGCCTATTCGAAAATATTAAACACTTTGATTGATCTTTGACCTTTGAGGATTCAAACCAGATAATTATTTGATTGTTTCAGATTCTCTTACCGGTGGAAAAGGGTCGGGCATCATCAGGACTATCAGCGATGCACAAGGAAGAGGTAAGAGCTATGAGTTAGCAGAAAGTTGGCTGATGATAATAATTAAAATTTACAACCTGCTGAAACATTTTTTCGCCGTCCTTAGATTGATGTAAGAAAAGGTGGCGGAATGATTTAGTTTGAAGAACTCAGAAATGAAGAAAGCCAAGAAATTTTTGGGACTCCCATGTTAAAACGTGTTTTTGTTTATTCAATCTCTCTTATTGTTAGCTTTCGTTTATTCAGTATTCTGTCTTGTGCTTTTTCGAAAATCTACTTCTTTTGAATTAGCTCGGTTCAGCGGCGGAGAGGGGGGGGTTACACTATCCGGTTTCCGGGCTTAGAACTATACTGGTAGTGCAAATTCCTTGGTGCCCCTCGTCGGTAATTCCCAAGGAAGGTCCAAAATTAGCAAAATCCAAAATCGAAGATGAGGTCTAAGTTATGAGAAGTTAGAATATAAAGAAACTGAGCGAAAAAGTGCAAATTACGCAAACATATAGAGGCTACTGCATGGCGAAGGCGCAGAAGCAGTATTAGTTGAGCGGGAGCGAGCGTGGCGCGCGCGTATCCTTACCGTTGTAAATCCTGCGCCTCATGCGCTCTGCGGTTGATAAAGCTGCGTTCGCGCCCAAAGATGTTGCGTCTTCTCATGCGGCAACCTATACGTATACGACAAAGAAAATGACAAATGTCATCTGAACAAATAGCAATCTTATTTTCAGACTAGAGTACTCCCGACCGTGACCTCAGAGCGCACTAGCCTCAGCCCACGTATCATAGAGGTCATGTAAAAGAGGCAAATGTGCGGTGCTAGGAATTCCGTACTTACGCAATATAAATGGTCTACCGAATAGTATTAGGTTGTCAAGAAAATAATGTCCGTTTTTATTTGCTTGCTTTAACAAAGCAACCAGACTGAACCCAACAAAGGGTAAGGGGTACTGTTCGATAGAGCAAAGCAAGCTCTACAAGATGGCACTCATGTCTTTGCGCCAAGCTCGATCCACTGAGAGTTCGAACTCAAAATCTAAAGATTTCCAAATGCCCAAAAAATCGAAAAAAATCAGATCTTCGTCCAGATAATTTCTACGGACCTCCCACTCGCTCATATCAATACTATCGATATCAGATATCCATATGTGCGATTGGCGTATTTTTTCCTTGACTAGAAACTGAGAAAACGAAAATTTGCCTGATTTTCTCAAAGCAATGCTGAGCCGTTTCTGCAAGTGTGATTCTATACTATAAGCCTAGGTAAGTATAACTGTAGATTTTCAGCCCATTCCAAGCGGTAGTTTTCGAAAAATAACGAATTCGGATTTTTTCGTTTCAGTTTCAGTGCTAAATCGACATTTCTCGAAAAGTACCGCTCGAAATAGGCTGAAAACCTACAGTTATGCTTACCTAGGCTTGTAGTATAAAACTACATATGCAGAAACGGCTCAGCATTGCTTTGAGAAAATCAGGCAAATTTTCGTTTTCTCAGTTTCTAGTCAAGGAAAAAATACGCCAATCGCACATATGGATATCTGATATCGATAGTATTGAAATGAGCGAGTGGGAGGTCCGTAGAAATTATCTGGACGAAGATCTGATTTTTTTCGATTTTTTGGGCATTTGGAAATCTTTAGATTTTGAGTTCGAACTCTCCGTGGATCGAGCATGGCGCAAAGACGTGAGTGCCATCTTGTAGAGCTTGCTTTGCTCTATCGAACAGTACCCCTTACCCTTTGTTGGGTTCAGTCTGGTTGCTTTGTTAAAGCAAGCAAATAAAAACGGACATTATTTTCTTGACAACGTAATATATAATAGAGTCTACGCATAAAAATATGGAATTTCCATCCATTTGTTTCAAAAGTCCTAGCTATTATAGTTCTATCATCTTTTTTTTTTGAAATGTGCGTAATTAGCACAATTTTGTAAATTCTTAGGATTACTGAAGTGCAAGTATTGTACAATATATATCTGGGTATGTAAGACTCCCAGAGTGTATATCTAAGTACAATGAAATTGTAGTCATTTGTCTTATTATGCATATCAAACTCAATTTTATTATGGAAAATTCTGAGGGTAAGGTCCAAAAAGTTTCTTTTTGTCAGGTTAATGTTAGTTTTTTCTATATCTAGCGAAGGATGATATATTAGGTTGGCAAGAAAGTTCATTCGCATCATTTTTAAAAATTCATAACTCCTGCTTTTTCCAACCGATTTGACTGCTTTTGCTTTTATATGAAAGAGTAAGTCATGCTCTTTGTAATGGCATCTTAGCTGCTTACTAATGGTCATCTGTTGCATAGATAGGAGCAATAGCAGAAAATTAGTCAAAATTCGATTTTTCTGTGTAGGGTCATAAAAAATCGGAAACTTGCAACAAACGGAGCAGTCGGTACTGTAGGTTCTTTCACCAGCTCTTTCTAGCAGTGCAAAGTTTGCGCCGACTGAGCGTCTCTATGAAAAGTTATGATTTTCCTGAAAACTGCCAAAATGAATCAAATTGGCCCTTTTGTATTGCTTGCTCGAAAATCATAACTTTTCGCAGAGACACTCAATCGGCGCAAACTTTGCACTGTTAGAAAGAGCTGAAAGAACTTACAATACCGACTGCTCCAATTTTTGCTGCAAGTTTCCGATTATTTGTGACCTACACGAAAAAGTCAAATTTTGAGTGATTTTGGTTTTGAGCTTCTATCTCCTTCATTTGTACACCTAACGAACCAGGTACGTATGCAAAGAGCATGAGTTCCTCTCTTATACAAAATTTAGATCTTGTAAATTTGTTGAGAATTCAACAAGTTATGAATTTTTGAATTTGGTGCGAAAGAACTTTTGCATCAACCTAATATTATTCCACCAAAATATAGCTTTATTTCAGTATAGAATCTATCATACACATCATGTCTTCGACTTGATAACATCTTTCTTGTGCCAACATATAAAGCTTTACTGTTCTGTTTTGAAAAACGTATAAATGAACTGTATAAGTGGATAATATGTAAATGAAAAATTTTTCTTGCTTAGGAAATGGCCTTTTGACCGATTTACTGTTTGTTGTTCAGCTTGGATCGTAGGACACTTACAACTTTGGAAGACACAAATGACCACTCAAAATTCTTCTCATCTCGTTTTTTTTGTTCACTAGGATGCAAACTTGTGCAAATGTTGTATTAGTCGCTGCAATACGTCAGTTCTGTCGCGTCACCCCAAGTGTAGCTTTTTCTCTTAAAGAAAAGAAATGAAGTCTGACGAGGTACCATGTCAGCCTCATGGGTATTTGGGAGATATGTCACGCAAAGAAATGGGAATGAAATGGAAAAAGGAGCAGTTGTCAGAGCTGGGTGAAAGATCGGAGGCTTACGTGCATAAGGGGCAAGAGAACTTGCTTGCATATATTTGGCAAGGAATTTAGGCTTTAATGGCTTAATCAAGTAGTTGGTCAATGAAGGGATAGAAAAGCTAGGCTATGAAAACACAGTTGATAAAAGTGTAGAAGGGCTGTAGAATGCAAAAATTACTGAAGGTAAGTGATAATAAAGTGGTTGAATAACTAGACTAAATGTTCAAATTCAAGCGATCAAATAAGGTCAACGTGAAGAAAAATCAAAATATAAAAAATTGAGTAGGCTATAAGTCAAATCTCAAAGGTAAACTGACAATAGATAGATGAGGAATTGTTGAATGTTAGTAGGTAAATAATTGGAATGCATTAAGCTTGTGGAATAAATAATATTCGATAATAATTGACCAAAAAATCTACGAGCTAACCGTATTTTCTCTGCTGTTAAGCGTCAAATTAAGAACTCCATATTGTCAGACCATAGCTTTGATAACTTCGCTCTCATAGAAAGGGAGGGATTAGCTATTATCAAACTCAAAATGTGCGAAAATTTTTGGAGTTTTTTTCTGTAAATTCCATGATGGAAATGACAGCATTTTGCAGACTTTTTATCTACGCTAACGTCATTTGCAGTGGAGTTGACATATGTCTTAATATTTCCGCTTTTGAATTTTTTTAGCCGCAACATAACGCAGTAACATCAATCATCGCTCAAACTATGAGGTACTTAGGGCTTGGGACTTGACAGGACCACTCGGATGTCATTAAGTAGACTTTGAGAGATTCAAAATCAGCGGGTTCAATATAGAAGGAACACGAACGAAAGGGATCAAATCTCATATGAAACAGGAAATGTTCGAAAACTAAAAGTATTGAAATTTCTGTTTTCAGGTGAAGAAATGGGCACCTGTTTGTTTTGTTATAGCGATGTTATTCGTGATTTACTTATTATTTAGTAGTTTTTCTATTCGATTTCGGGATCAGGTCAGTTTTATTCAATTTCGAACTCAATTCAGCGTGTAGAAAAGATTTTGGAGAATTAGAAGAGGAGAATAAAACTTACTTCATAGTCTCTATGCAGCAAACTGTTTCTCCCTTTTGCTACAAATGATCATTGTAATCGAAAATTGTATACTAAAAAATCGAAAAAGTGGTTTTCGATTATGATTCTACGTGAATAGATTTATTGTAGAGTAGTGGATTCGGATTGGTGCTATTCTCACTGGTGACATCAATGATTTTTCCGGCATTCATGTGGATTCTGCATCTTCCAGTTGTTGTTTTTGTAGCTAGAGTGAGTTTGAATTCCTTGTAATTTTTCAAAGTGGTATGGCGGGCGAATGCAAGGAGAAGAGAAACTAGCCTCATCGCATTGATCCTCAATATTTTAATGATTTGATGGGTAGAAATCTCCTCTCGGAGATGTTAAGACCAAGGCTGGGCGCAGGTGGCTTACGGGGCAAGCTGGATATCGTTTTAAAATAAATTCAAAGGGGATACTGTTTGAGCGGAAATCCCAGCAGAAAATTATGAAATTATGTGAACTGAAGGCGTGAAAAACTTTTTTCGAAGTTAGGTGGCTTTCCAGTCACCTGGCCAGCCACCTGAGGTGGCTGTAAAAAGAAAAAAATCATATACTTTCCTTTTTTCACATAATTTTCTCACGCGTTTGACATAACCTTGTTTCTACAACAAAAACCCTGCAAATGAGTTTTGAATCTCCCTAAACCCCTCTTCCTCGCCTAGTTACAGTCCTCCGAATATTTTGTATAGCAGCGGCAAGCCTGCTCCAAGCGCGCAAAGGTGGCGCCGGACACAGCATGCCGCCAATTCGGAGAAAACGAACATCATTAGTTTTTTCGTCTGTTGAAGTTTCTTTTACGTTTTGTTCCATTATTTTCTCGTTATTCGTTCTGATTCACCCACGATCGAGTCATAGATGATGTCGTATTTATTTTTCTGCCGAATTCTACAGGGACTTCGTTTTTGAAAATTTGAAAAAAGCCGCCTCATGCCGAGCCTTGGTCAGCACTTTAAAATAAGTAAAGGTTATGGTTTGATAGATTTCTGATAATTCCAAGAGTGCGCGAGATTGAAAAGAAACATTCGCTGGTTTTACCCCGTTTCCTTTCATCATAAGGAGCAGTTTATAAATCGAGTATAAATTATGGCTTTTGTTTTTATCCGTCTTTTACTCGAGTGAATCTGAATCAGAATCCCTAGATCGATATAAGTATTTCAGGAACGTGTACATCTCCGTATGTACGATCATTCATCACTCTACACGGGATTATGTATAGCAACGGGTACGCCCCACTTGGCTCTCACAATTTCGAAAATATCAAAATTATCTATCTAGTTGTGCAATTTTTCGTTTTACCCCGGCATCGCCGAATATTCTTGATTCTATCGCTCTTATGGGTTACAATAAGCATGTCGATTCTGCTTATTATCAACTGGGATGCAATCCAAGCTGATGCCGTTTTTATTTGCTCAGTGAGCGGATTGTTCAGAAAATACTGTTTTGTCATTTCAATCATATTTCAGTTGATTTCCTTCCTTTTACAACAACTGATGATTTGCTGCGTAGGAATAGTTTCGGATTCGAATGAGGCTGGAAATCGTGCTGATATTGCGATGAAGCTCACTGAAGCGGTATATAGGAGGACGGAACTAGAAACGCTGAAAGACCGTCAGGTAAGCTTACGTAAGAAATTAGGGCAAAGAAACCGTAACTATCCATAGGCGGGCAGCTGGTACAAATCATGATGCTACACGGTGCACAGTTCGTACCAGCAGTCCGTGGAGAAGGCACCCATTTGAGAGAGGACAGACGTAAAAAACGCACGTAACGTGTAGTCCCGCCCACTTCTTGCATCTCACTAAATCGTGTCAGGACCTGAATAGTCAGGGCCCCACCCCCTCTCCGTTTCCGTCGCCGAAATGAAGCGCAGCATCCGTTTTTGCAAGCTTTGAAACTGTCAACTTCTAGGCACACCCCTTCCACACTCAATTTTTGCATCATATGGTTCCGAGATACCTGCATACCAGTGGCGTACCCAGGATTTCGGCTGGGGGGGGGGCGACAAAAAAATTTTTCAATGAAGGTGCGTGGCGGAAGCCACGCCCCCGAAAAATTTTTTTTACAAAGCTAATTTGAATTTTTAAAAATTTTTAAAAATTATTTTAATTATTTACAAGTAAATAAAGTCCTCTGCACATTTTTATAACACATTTAAGTAACTTTTAAAAATTTCGCGACCCATTCTCGGGGGGGGGGGGCGGCTCCCCCCCCGCCCCTCCCCCCCCCCCTCGATACGCCACTGCTGCATACATGCAGTAATTTTCTTTGCAGGACCAACTTCTGCTATCGGTGATTCCAGCTTATTTGACGGATAAAGTTAGCAAAAGCATAATACAATCAAGTAGTACAGCAGCAAGGAATAACAATTCGAAGCATCACAAGCTGTTTCATGATTTGCACGTTCAAGTGCACGACAATGTCAGGTGAGCTGAAAAGTTTCATCTAATCAATATATCGATTGGCTCAACTGTTGTCTATTGTTTGCCTAAAACTTTAATTGAGATATTTCATCTTTGCTGGATTGCTTTACAAAATGACTAACGTAGCAAATTGTGAGATAATCGATATATCGATCCGCATAGACTATGTCTTCGCATCGTTTCATATCAACCTTTTCAGCATTCTATTCGCTGACATTGTGAACTTCACCGTACTCGCAGCTCAGCTGACAGCCAAAGATCTTGTGAGGACGCTGAACGAGTTGTACAGCAAATTTGACAAAGATGCGCAGGTGCGCGCATTACCGTATATCCTTACCGTACTTGGTCATAGCTTAGCGACCACTCATTGCTATACTTCACTGAGATGTTTTGAGATTTTAGAAGCTTCAATGCATGCGGATTAAATTTCTTGGAGACTGCTACTACTGTGTTTCTGGAATGCCAGTAAATCGTCCAAATCATGCTGATATGTGTGTGGTGATGGGTCTCGAGATGATTAAAACGATAAAGTAAGTGAATTTACGACGAGTCAAAAAACAGCATTGAAAAATAATTCTAAAACTTTTTTTTGGAGTAAATAGATAAAGTATAAGCCTCTTGGCTGAAAAAAGATGCAAAAGATTCAAATTTTTGAGCAATTTTTTGAAAATCTAGCATCAGAATACTATCGACCTACAAAAAATCGATATATTGATTAATTCAGGCAAATCCGACTGGCCACAGGTGTAGATGTCAACATGCGCATTGGAGTACATACTGGCTCCGTACTTTGTGGAATCCTTGGTCTACGAAAATGGCAATTTGACATCTGGAGCGATGATGTGACACTGGCGAATCATATGGAATCAGCTGGTGTGCCTGGGTAAATATAGAGGAAGTGGACAACTGGTACAAAGTGCATGCGGAACTATCACTGATTTATGAGCTTTCAGAGCTGTTCATATAACAAAAACAACAAAGGACATGCTATTGGGCGATTATTGTATTGTGGAGGCGAAGTAGGTGCTCAAAAAAAGTTTTTTTTGTGAAATTGACAGGTTTCAAAAAAGTGATGGTATTAAGAAGTTCGTCCATAGCGATTTTTTGAGATTTAAAAATATTAGTGTCTGCGCAAGAACACCTTTTTTCATTTCGAGAATGGAAAAAGTTTATGGTCAACAAAAATTTTCGTGCTGACATTCAGGTCCGATGACCCGCATATCCTGGCCTATGGCGAACCAACCTACCATATTCTTCCGGATAAGACATCAGTAGTTGAGAGAACCGTATCCATTTATAGAAATAGGTAGGTTTGCCACATCATTTATCGAAAAGCAGAGACTTCTCGGGTTCCTTTTCAAAGTGTTATGGGCCTTAAGCCAAAACATTTCACAAAAAAAGGGCGTGACGGTTGTGAAATTCAGTCCCTCAATCGCATTTCATAACTTTTCATTGGATTTTTGTACGTTTCGAAAAAAAAGATTTACGGTAATAACTGTGATTCCAGGAGAAGCACAGGCCTTTGCGACAATGATAAAATGCTCAGCGTAGCCAATAACAATGCTTTACAATGTCGACATAGCATGAAAGCCAAGGCAATTTTTTCGTATTTGATCAATAAATCTGTTATTAATGTGGTTCTGCTATAGGTCTCCAAATTGGCCGAGTTTTGGGGTGCAGAAACTCCATTCGCTAACTTCAACCGCAAAAAGTCGTCAACCAGTTTTGAACCGGGATTGATAGTGGTAAGTAAATTTTTTTGTTGTGAAAAATTCTAGCAATCATTGAATTTATAGATGGGATTTCTTTTTTACAGGATGACACACCTCGACGTCCAAACTACAGCAACACCATACAGTCAATGACGTTGATTGAAAATAGCCTGACCAATTTTTCTTTGAACAAGTATGTGCTCAGTTATTGAAGTAGTTCAAAAAAATTACCAAGAAAATTCGCTCCAAAATTTTCTGACTATTTCGCTTCTAATGAACGCAGCTTAGATCATCGCTTCTCTGGTAATCAAAAAAAACCTGAAAAAGTTTAGAAAGATATTTTCCATTATTATCGATTGATTTTGTTCCGCACAAAAGTTACGATAAAGATACTGTAATGACGTCATAATCTTTCAGCATAAACAACATGTTCAATTGTCGCCATCCGAAAAGCCAAGTGTCACCTTATTTGTTATGGCCATTCAGGTAATTTCTACTTTTTTACAAAAAAAAGATAACTTTTCATGAGTAGTTCGAGGTAGTGTTTTACGAAATAATAAAAACTTGTCGATGGTTTCCTTGAAATTTGTTTGAAAAAAATATTTTGTCCAAAGTCTACAAGTCTACGTCAAGTCTTTTTTGTATCAAAAAACGTCATAATTTTTCAGCAACAAAGCGATTCTGTGCAATTTTTCCGATTGTATGTTATTTTTAATACTTTCTTTACCTGCAGCCTTTGCTAATGTTATGGTGTGCCGACTCTATTGTCCGTGAGTTCCTTTTTTCACACTTTTGATCTACCATCAAAAAATTCCTGATTTTCAGGGTTGAAGTGCAGCACACAACGGGTATTCAGCAATTTTTCACGCTGCTAATTCTTATTATTCTATCACTTTTTGATAGAATTTGCCCTTATGCCCATGCACTTTTGACTAGCACTTCGTTTGTGATCTCGTCATTCATCGTTATAGGACCACATGTGAGTTTATTCTTTGAGGGCGGGGGGTAGCAGAAAAGAGTCCAAATTTTCGCATTTTAGATGATCATCGCTAAATCTGATCTACATGAGGTGAAACCATTCACTTCTATGGTATTTATGCCAGGTTTGCCCACTCTGAAAGACTTCCCGTAATGGGCGTGGCCTATAGCTTTCCCTTTCAGCCTGCGTCTCTCATATCACTTCAGTATTTCTGCTCTACCGTATCCCATATTCTTATCGCTGCGTACTTTTTACAATTGATTTCGTCGTATTTGAAATTTTGCTATCAATATTTCCCGTGTATGGTGCTAAGCCAGCTCAGAGCTTTTTGAGGTAAGTTTTCATGAATTTATTATTTTTTGCGTTGAGTAATTTTGGTATTTACAATGGAACTAAAACTAAACTGGACCAAACCCCTTTGAGGTAAGTTTTTTATTGATTTGTTCTGCTTGAAATGAAAGTGTAACTAATTTTGCTTTGTAATGAAAACAATGGTAAGAGAATTATTATCTTTTGTAATCTTAAATCTTTTAGCTACCAGCTAACCACGGTAGCGATCAATCTATCGTTTCTGCTGGTATTAGTGCTGTTCATCGACTGGATTGTGAGTTTTTACAGAAAATAAAAACAAGTAGTAGCTATAAAAGTAGCAGAGGAATTTTAAAGGATAGACTAACGAAAAATATCCAACAAGGAGGAAACAGATCAAAATCATATTGAGTTCTACTTATAGAAACATAAGCTTGCAAACACTTCGAACTCATAGATTTCAGAAAAATTTTACAGGAAAATTTTACAACCTTAATTCCGAGAAAATAGTTCCAATTTCTAACTCGTATTTTCGGACAGATAATATTAAAAAAAATAATTCAAATTTTATCTTGTATTGTTTCAGACAAATTACGAGCGAAAAGCTGAAAATGCCTGCAATGTTTCATTCCAAAATGAAGAACGAGATGTGGAAACTATGCAAGACATCAACAAGTTACTTATCGAGAATATTCTACCCTGCAGTGTCGCAGCCAAGTTCCTGGCCCCTGATAGGCCTGTCAATGTACGAAATTCGTTCTTACCAGTTGAAAATGAAAAAAATAATTGGTTTTAGGACTTATATGCCCGACAACATGAGAATGTTTGCGTAATGTTTGCTTCGATACCGAATTTCAAGGACTTTTGGAGCCAGTGGGATACAAGTCGAAAGCTAGAGTGCCTGAGGCTGCTCAATGAAATCATTTGCGAGTTTGACAAGGTGGGTAAAACTCTTGTCTCAGCCATCCTGTTATCTGATTATTGATCACTCAAAAGAAATCTTGTTGGAAGAGTAAACGATTTTATATAGTGGGTCCGAAACGTAGAATTTTTTTAGAAAGCAAAGTAGCTTTTTTGTCACATCTCGTTACAATGTTATCGTATATCAGTGTAATTATCGATCAAGCACGTTATCTGTGCATAACTATATAGTAATAAATTCCTCATATTTCCTTTATAATAAAATAAGTAAATTATAATAAACAATCATAGATTTTCTGTTTCGACTGTCACTTTTCTGCAACATACCCTTTGATCCAACTGGCTTGGCGGCTGGAAAGCGGGGCTTCGTGACCTAACTAAGGCTAGATAATGATCAGAGTGCACGCGCGCCTTAATTAGGTCACAAAGCCCCGCCCTCCAGCCGCCAAGCCAATTGAATTAAAGGGTTACCTATTCACAAATTTAACCTTCAATTCTAATCTATACTTATTTTGTAACAAAAGTTTCAATCATACTTTTTGCAAAAAAAAAGAACACACTGAATTAATGACATTATCTTCTCCAGCTCCTTTCCAAACCGAAATTCTCGTCAATCGAGAAGATCAAGACCGTTGCCAGTACCTATATGGCAGCTTCAGGGCTAAATGAGATGGATGGAGAATTCGATGATGTGAGTGCCATGGTAGGTGCATAGACTGTTATATTAACACTTGGGTTATTATTGACAAATATCTAATCTTTTAAATTTTATTCCGAGTTTTCAATTCATATAAAAATTTGTGTTTCCAAAAGGGTGAGCCATTGACAGTGATGGCGATGAAATTTCTTTTTTAGGAATTTGCTGACGATTGCTGCAAGAATGGCAATTCTAATGGAACAGCTGTAGTAAACAATAACAACAATTCGAGCAACAACACGAACAACACTGTTAATTCGCAAAAGGGAAATCTGGTAAGCACGGTTAATCTCGTTCATTCCCTTCCACCCAACAAATAAGGAGGTTGAAAAAAAAAACTGGGGGTTGAAAAATTCGTGAGAGTGTGTACGGGTCGAATTGCACGAAAAGTCAGATTGTGTTTATAGTCTGTGATAGACCGACGTTTTTTGACAAATAATTGCATTGAATTTTGAAACTGGTGCAATTACAGAACATGAAGATGTATCGTAACGCGACAATGATGATCGAATTTGCGCTAGCAATGTCACAAATACTGGACCAATTGAATCGTGATTCATTCCAAAACTTTGAATTGCGAATAGGTAGGCTTTTTTGCCGCTAAATTGCTGGAATGCGCTATGGGGGACCAGTTCTCGCCTTGTTACTCCAACCTGTTTCAGGCATGAGTGTGGGCCCATTAGTAGCTGGAGTGATAGGAGCACAGAAGCCACAATATGATATCTGGGGAAATACCGTAAACCTAGCTAGTCGAATGGATACCCATGGTGAACCTAGAAAAATACACGTGAGTTCAGACTGGAGCACACGTTGGCGCTAAAGCGCGGCACTTTGAATGAGGAAAATTTAGATGACCCCACAAATGGGCGAACTACTACGACGTGGAGGATATCGAGTGCATAGTCGGGGAAAGATCAAAGTCAAGGGAGTAAAGGTAATAGTCACTCCTACCAGCTCCTGGTCAACAGTAATAATTTCCATTCAGGAACCAATGGAAACATTTTTGCTGGAAATCGATTCGAAACGCAATTCTTCAGTGTCGAATATTTCCAGCCATTTGAATTCATAGTGACCAAATTGGCCAATGTTTTCCTAATTAAATTTTCTTTGCATAATAATTGTTGAATTATTGCCAAATACCGGTACAGCTTCAATAAATCTCATTTGCCAATTTTTTAGTGTTATCAGGTCAGCTGAAAGTGTCAGATCATCTGACACCCTCAGCTGAAAATGTTCAGATCGTCTGACACCCTAAGCTGAACTTTTATAATTGCTATTCTCAAATATAGGACTCCAGAACATGATCTGCACATGTTTCCAAAAGTGGAAAAGAGTGTTGTTGACAAAATTGCAAGAAAAAAAATAAAACATCTTTATTAACTATTTATAAATACTCAAAATCTACGTGAATAGCTGTTCTTAATTCACAGACACGTATCTATCACGCTAAGACTTAAAAAATCTCTAAAACCAATACATAAAACTTTTTAAAACCGATTCCTCTACAAGCTCGAAGCTGCCACATTCCTTACAGCATCATCTATTGCTTTGGCGACGTATTCGACATTTTGATGGTTGAGACCGCAGACATTGATACGACCATCTTTCAGAAGGAATACTTTGTGCTTCTTGACGAGATGATCAACTTGGGCGGCTAAATTGTTGAAAATAGAAAGGGAAACAAAATGCAAATCAAAGAATGTGTAGTAGAGACATCACACCATCTGCTTTGTTGTTATAATACATACCACAAATTGCTTATGAAGAGGTTTCACTGTTATGGATTCTGGAAGCTAAAGATGGCAGTATATTAATGGGGACCAATTCTCGTATCGAAATAAATAAGCACTACCTAATCTTTAATTCAACTGGATTGACGGCTAGAAGGCGGGGCTTTGTGACCTATTTAAGGCTGCTCGCGCTCGCGACGCAATCGGCGTCTCTTTCGCGCTCTTGCTCTCTGATCATTCTCTAGCCTTAACCAGTCACGAACCCCGCTTTCCGGCCGTCAATTTAGTTGAATCAAAGGGTAGATGGAAAGGTAAAGCAAAAAATAGGCCATAGCTATATAACACGTAGACTCTAATCAAAATCATCAAGATGTTAGACGAATGGGGACTAGTTTTCGTCCCAAAATAAGGAACTAATTACAATACCAAAGTAAATAATACGAAGTTATATTTCACCGTTACAGACTACAAAAGCTAAAGCTGATAACAAATCAGCGGGCACCACCTCGTAAAATAAGGTCTGAACAAAGGTGAAGCAAGCATAAGGCACGGATATTGTATTGTTACAGATAATGTGACCACTGAGTGGAGACCAGTTCTCGTCTCAAAATAAGAAAGCAGGCATGCATATAATGTTGTTATAGGGTAATGTGCCCATTGGGCGGGGACCAGTTCTCGTATCAAAATAAGAAAGTATGCATGCATATAGCATTGTTACAGAAAAATGTGGCCGTTGAGTGGGGACCAGTTCTCGTTTCAAGTTAAGAAAGTATGATTATAATAGCAAGAAGGAACAAAGAGGGAGTTACAATTAAGTGTTTCCGGACCTTGATCAAAAAGGCTAGACTACTATTAGAGAACTACTAAAAGAGACTTTTCATTTTGTAAGTTGAGTTTTTCACCTTAGCAGCCGCTTACAACTACTTTGACATCTTCGTCTGTGATTGATAATCATGCTGAGTTATTCTTTCTGGAAGTTATTGCAGAAATCTCTGCGAGACCTGAGGCCAGCGAACAGCTTCTGGAAGAATCAAAAAACGCATTGCTACAAGATCTCTGATTACTCCTCTCTCCTCCTCTCTCAACCTCCTTCCCTCAGCGCTTTCCATTTTGGAAAAAATAAACAAAAGTTTTGCTTACGATTGAGACCAGTATAGCTGAACATTCCAATTTGTTGCGTAATATGGCTCCAAGTGCCTGGCGTTTTCAATTCTTCTAAATGTTGTCGAAGTGCTGCTCGCATCTCCTTGATTCTGGAGGACATAGTCTAAAAAAGTAATTTTTATCGACAAAAAATTGCATAAAAAGAAATAAATATGGAAAATCTATACAAATTAAGGCTAACCTTGATAGCATCATCCCATTGTTTGCGCATTTCTGGGTTAGTAAGGACCATATGAACTATGCGAGCTCCATGAGCTGGAGGATTTGACCTGAAAATCCTCTTTTAAGTTATTTTTCAATAAATTTCAAAAGCATAGTATTTACCAGTTTGCTCGAATAACCAGCTGTATTTGAGATCTGAATCCTTCAAGCACTTTGGGATCTTTGAACACTACACATAGGTTACCTATACGTTCATCTGAAAAATACATAATATTTTTTCTTTTTTTTTCTAGAAAGAATATGGAAATATCACCCTTAAAATGAAGTAAGAATAATTATTGTTGTAATTATTATAAATATAAAACAGGAAGTAAAAGAAAATTAGAGAATCAAATAACAATAAATAAGCCTGGAGAAAACCTCCGTGTAAAGGAAGGGACATTTTTTTATTCTTTTATGATTTTTCATAAAATCCTCAAAAATTCTATGAAAAATTTCATATTTCCATTTTAGAATGAAGCTAAGCATGTCTTTTGAATTTAGAGCTTGCGGATACTGTAGGAATACTGTAACGAAAGGATACTGTAACTTACTGTACAATCCAAAGTTCTTTGCAAACGATTGTGCAACCATCATTTCCAAGCCTTGTTCCACGAAATATCGAACCGCCCAAGCATCATCGTCTGGGCTTCCCGAAGCGAAACCTTGGTAAGCAATGTCGAAAAATGTGAAGTGATTCTTCTTCTGAAACATAAATTTCGAAACTTCAATCAAACTCGAAAAAAATCAGATGAATTGTGAATTTACTTCTGTCTCTCCTTCTCCAAAGTATAGAAAAAAAACTTATTTTGTAAAGTGCAAGATCACTCGAAAAATTGTGAAAAATCCTCCCCTTTTTGCTCCCGCTCCGCCCCCTCCTAAATAAAGATACGAATTTGATGCTCACCTTGATGACTTCACAAATTTGTTTCCACTGGTCTCGAGTAGGATCCATTCCAGTAGGATTATGAGCGCAACCGTGAAGCAAGATCACTGATCTATAAAATCAAAACTAGATCTTTCATCATCCTATTTTTTTATATTTTCAATTTACATCATCATTTCGCTTATTTTTTCACGTTCAAAAGTCACCATTCCTTTGCACAATTTTTTTATAGTTTTTTCGTTTCTTTTAATAATTTTCGAACTTTTCCTTTTTCATTCACTTCATTTAAATAGAAAAAAACCCACTTTTCTGGAGCTGCCTCGATGTCTTTCAACATCTGCTCGATGCTTACACATCTCTTTTCTTTATCCCAATACGTGTAACTACCAAAGTTTGTGAATCCAGCATTAGTGAAGACTAGCTTGTGATTTCCCCTGAAATCAGAAGATATCAGAATCCCTATAAATTTATGTGCACAGGCCTTACCAAGTAGGATTGCTGATGTAAATAGTTTTTAGCCCAAGAACTCGAGCAAGAAATTCACCACCAGCGCGAAGAGATCCGGTTCCGGATAGACATTGTACGCCAGCATACTAAAATCCAAAAAATTGTGCATACTCAATCGAGAACTGATGCGAGAACTGGTCCCCAGCTTATATATGCACAAAAATTGTTTTGGTGAGGTTCAGTGAGTTCATGCAATTGTTTATATGTATTTGGTAAGCTCTACAGGAGTAAAAATGATCGCAATCCGATGCGTACCATTTCCCGCTTAATGATCCTGCTAAAATCGAAAACAGAGAACTCTTTATGCAAAGCGAAGGCACGAAAACTGGTCCCCAGCTCATATTCCAACAGAAAACATATAAAAGAAATTCATCAAGTTTACGCATCTTTTCCAATGTTTCATAAAACTACATAAAAGACTACAAAAGCTAAAACGACCAAAAATCCCTTGTGGACCAGTTCTTGTCTTAGCGATTCTAACAAAATTGAAATTCGATCACCTATCTGGAAATTAGGACACGAGAACTGGTCCCCAACTCATATCACATTTCAGACTGATCTCACAAGAATCATTCGGCGGAGACTGTTCTCATGACTAACCATTTTTGTGCTGTTTTGTGTTCTTCATGTGGCTCCTCTATGAATGCAAACAAAAATAAGAAAATAAATAAAATACTTTACGGAAAACTATCTGGCAAAAGGTTGTAAAATATAGATATCTTCAGCAATTTTCTTAGATCCTATGGGCGTCTAAAATGTCCAAAAAACCTGTGGGACCAGTTCTCGTTAGGGCGTATACGACTATTTTGAAAAAATACCCTCTTCTCCTTGATAGCCGGACTGTCGGGTCCCAAAACAAGTGAACATGCAGCATCAGAGAATCCACCATGTCCCAAGACAGGCAGATATTCGTGGTTCAATGTGTCATCGTTAGCCAAAGCTTTTTCTGCCGCTTTCACAACAGGTAGTACCCATGGTTTGCCTTCAGCGGTACGGTAGGCTAAAATTGAAGCGTTATAGAATCTCTAACATACATCTAACACAAATATTTCATATCTAGTCAGTCTAGATTTTCGTTAGATTAGATCTATATCGCATTGGGTATGGAGAGTGAAGAAAAACCAAAAATGGAACGAAAAGGCCAAGGACTTACCTCCGACGGTGAGATTAACCTTGTGTGAGTCAGTCTCGTCTAAGAACATTTTGTTCATGAAAAACACCTCGATTGGAGGTGCCACTGGAACTCCGTCGAAGAACGACATGTCTGATGGCTGAGGCTGAAATGAAATAAAACTAGAAACAAAGGAAAAATTCGCAGGCAAAGGTACGAATCTAAGGAAATTAGAAGTTCTGGAAAATTTTCAGTCCCAGTGAGGTAGAATAGAAACGTGCATGTACAGAGAAAGGAGAGTGGTGCAGACGAGTTTTATGCTCAGGAAAGTAAGATTAATGAAGAGACTTAAAAAATTGACAAATCGGATTTCATAAAAGCGAAATGATAGTCATATGAGGTAAATAAAGAGGAAGCAAAAACCTGAAAGATACGTGAATTTTAGAAATTAAAGTGTAGAAATGCTCGTGCTAGACCAGCTACGCATGATAATAGCCTCAAAGCTCTGTCGGTACCTCCCCTCCCCCCTCCTATCCTCGTTTTTTTCGATCTAATCCACCCCAAAAATTAGCGCACAAATCTTTGAAAACTTTGCTTGATTCTCCTCTCTTTTCTATAATTTGTTTTTTTTTATATAATTGTCCGGATGAAAACAAAAAGAAATGAGCATGACCAAAGTTCGAGTAGTTTTCCAGGTTTTACCAATAGTGAAGAATCATAAGAAAACAGATGAGTACATTATTGAACAGAAATAATAAAAGAATTTTGGTTTTATACCCCTAAATCTATACATATCTCTTGCATGAATAAAATTATCGATATTATAGAATTCCGGGAAAACGTCCTGGCATGGCGCAAGTGTAAATGTACTTTTATTCACAGAGATTTACAGGATTTACATTGATAACAATACTAAGTTTTCAGTGTTTTGGGTGTGGGAGTGATAGTAAAAATAAGTAGGTAACACAAAAAAAAAGAATTCGGGTAATATAAATCTTGAAATGTTTCTGGTAGCTTTATAAAATGACCCTGGAATTGAAATAACGTGCAGAAACTTATTGTAAATATGCTAACAATAAGAAGCGAATGATAAAAAAGCTCTAATATATTGTTAAATACAGATTTCAGCATTTATTCGCAGAAATACTTCGACAGATTGGAAGAAAACTGAAGATTCGAGCGATTAAATCTCCGCAAAAACGTAAAAGAGGTCAAATTCCAAGTCCGACAGTCAATGAATCTTGGCATGTCTTGATAAATCGTAGTAGTTTTGTTTCAGCTAAGGCCAAGATTGATACACAGCTTTATTAGGCCTACGTTTCGGCGTCTCCGCCTTCTTCAGAGCCTGTAAGGACGATGATATTTGTAATCTATCCCCTCAAATGCTCTATCTCCACCACATCGGTACAACCCAATAGCCGACAGAGCCAGAAACAAACGAGAGAAGCAGGAACAGTTAGCGCTTACCTTATAGCCTTGCAGTCAAGAGTAGGCGACCACCCACAGTGAAGCGCCGCTGCTGTGTTATAGATATATTCAAATCACTCCCCGCCTTGACCCGACCCCGACCCAGTAGGTCAAAACCCACAAAGGGTCTGGAACGGTGCCAATTCGTTTGTAACGGCAACGCATTCTTCCTTCCTATTAATTTTTGGATTTCGCGATGCAATCCAAAAGGCCTCAAGAGTTTTGCGGGCTATTGTTTGGGGTTGTACGATAGGATTGTAACAGCCGTACTGAACGTAGCATTTTCATGACACAGCCTGCTGTGAGCGCCTAGAGGTGTTGATGATCTGCCCTTCGCAAGACCGTCTAAGTGCTCCTTGATCCGGACGCACACCGGTCGCCCTGTTTCGCCCATGTATTCCTCACCACACGACTGACATGTGATGAGATAGACCACCCCCGCCTTCATGCAATCACCTGGTCTACCGTACGGACATACCACGCAATCGGGAGTCGTACAAATATTGTCGTAAGCACGGTTGCGTATGAGCTGCTTCCAGGGAAACAGGGCGACCGGTGTGCGTCCGGATCAAGGAGCACTTAGACGGGCTTGCGAAGGGCAGATCATCAACACCTCTAGGCGCTCACAGCAGGCTGTGTCATGAAAATGCTACGTTCAGTACGGCTGTCACAATCCTATCGTACGAACCCCAAACAATAGCCCGCAAAACTCTTGAGGCCTTTTGGATTGCATCGCGAAATCCAAAAATTAATAGGAAGGAAGAATGCGTTGCCGTTACAAACGAATTGGCACCGTTCCAGACCCTTTGTGGGTTTTGACCTACTGGGTCGGGGTCGGGTCAAGGCGGGGAGTGATTTGAATATATCTATAACACAGCAGCGGCGCTTCACTGTGGGTGGTCGCCTACTCTTGACTGCAAGGCTATAAGGTAAGCGCTAACTGTTCCTGCTTCTCTCGTTTGTTTCTGGCTCTGTCGGCTATTGGGTTGTACCGATGTGGTGGAGATAGAGCATTTGAGGGGATAGATTACAAATATCATCGTCCTTACAGGCTCTGAAGAAGGCGGAGACGCCGAAACGTAGGCCTAATAAAGCTGTGTATCAATCTTGGCCTTAGCTGAAACAAAACTACTACGTAAAAGAGGTCGTTGCTATGTATGTGACATCAATTTGGCAGAAACGCATAACCAGCAGAATGAGTAAATGCAAGAAATCAATTGGCTAAAAAAATATCATAAGGGTTTTCAGCAGTTATCAAAAAGATAATAAAGAAGAAAGAACTGTTGTTACGTGACAATAACAATACCATTAACCAAAGCTATAAATGGCAAAAAACAAATGACGTTTCCATGCATTCGTAAAAATCTCTTGGAAAGGATTAGCACATTGAGGAAAAGTCAAAGAATTCAACGACAAAATTTGATTTTTCATGGAATGCCTATTAACTTAAAAAAAAGGCAAATAAAATTCAGCACATGTTGATGGTTTTTGAACATTGATAGATATAAACTTCCGCTTTTTTTCAACAGTCATTTTTAGTGATTCCAATAACTCCTTCCATATTTTTTGCTTCGGCAAATAAAATGAAGCTCTGGACGTTAGATAAATCAACTTCAGTCTTTCCGGATTAAAACGTGTCCATTTTAGTGCTTATAAAAGCGAAAAACTCAAAATTTCCTTTCTACAGCCTGAACGCAATGAACCTATAATCATTTTCTTAATTTTTTTCCCCCAAGAGGTTCAATAAATCAAACACAAAGTACATTCTAGAATATCTAAAATATTCAGGGCAATCGATGTCACAACCGATAAGTGGCACGTCGTCTTCAGCGCGATAACGAGGGCAAAAAAACTTGCATACAATCGTTGGCACGCACGTGGGAATGGACATACCTATGGGGCTAATGTGAAAAACTTTCCACAGAATCATACCTATGGTCGCTAACCTAGCACTATTAGTAATTATTAAATTCTATACTAGAATAAGTAGCGGTTAATGAGAGAATTCAATTCTTAAGCATTCCACTTGAAACTCCCTATGCATGTCAGAAAGATAAATTTTAGGAGGTCCGAAAAAATTTGCAACTGGTTTTCGCTAAGATCTTATCCAACGCAAGTTCTTTTGCTAAGAGTAATTTTAGCACATTTTACCTTGACAGAACTGTAAGATTATGGTAAGAGTGCTCATCATTGCCATGAAACCGTGGAACTTGAACTTAAACTTGCGCAATAAGTAATGCTTCAACAAGTTCTTGAAATGCCTTCTGCAAGTATTATAGTATACAGCGCCAGGAACTCATCAAAATCCTCATATTACATATCCGAAAGCTTGGGAATCCCCAGTATGGAGTCCTCAAATGCGATTTTCTCACCTCCTTTTCCTTTTTAAGAAAAGGGAGCAAGCTGCACTAGCCCCTTGTAATTTGGAAGACCATCAACCTACATACAATAGCCATAAAACGCAAGGTGTACAATCCAAATAATCTTTTGTAGGTGAACTGGTAATGAATACTGGTCCACACGAATGATGCACAAAAGCTTTCGTAACTTTGCAGAACTCAGTGAAATTAGAAGCTTTTGTTTTTATCTGACAGACAAGGAAATTCCGCATAAAATATTATAGATTACTTCTAAGAAATCCGCTTTCGGCTTTGGTGAAAGAATTTATTCTGCTCGGAGAGAATTTTGAAATGCGCGCAATGGTTTTTGGCGGAACTTCGTCCCGGGATCTCCTTATTGCAAATCCAATGAAATGGATCTGAGAGCGGGCGTTTTGTTCACAGATAGGCCAGGAAGAAAATTCGTGGGTTCAATGTTCGAGTGGAAAGACCAAACAGTGTTTTTTTTTTCATATGTGGTCCACATGATGTTTTACGAGCAGCAAACAATTCAATTTTTAGTCCTTTTCATTCCATGTTTTGATGATAGTCGTCTTCTCCATATTCTTTTGTCCCGTTGTGCTTGTTCCCGACTTCGCTTCTTAGTAAAACGTGGTCAAGTTTGAAGGTTTATCAAAGGTAATTGCCATGACAACAAAATCGCAGTTTTTAGGGATCCTGGAGAAAGCGCCGAAAACAAACTTTGAAGGGCTGTGGTACCTTGTCGGATCAAACGAAATACTATAGACGCTTTTGGGAATTTTTAGCATGATTAAACACCAATCCACATAGAAAACAAGAAATTGCAGTAGTGTAAAATCCATCATTTGGACACTGGGAAAACAAATGATATCTGGCCTTTAGCTCGTCCATCCTCAAACCTACAAACAGTCTTTTCTACCTGCGTGAAAGGAAAAAGTCTGCCCTTCAACATGTCGCTTGATTTGCCAAAAAGAAACCTCATAAGAGTTTGGGAGCAGAAACCATCGCGCGCAAATCGAAGAATTTGTTGAAGAGGTTTGGAAGGGAAAAAACGCTTTTTTTGAATCAGGAACAAATATTTCAAAAACTAGTTGGAGGTTCTAATACAGAACTCTCTTCTCTGTCAAGTGAGGGTAGAAGCTTATTATTTTATTCAGTCCTTGCAAACTTATAATATTTTTTGTTGTGTCACGTTTCATGTGGACCACCGTGTAGTTCATTAGACCCTCCACTCAATTAATCAAAAATTTTGGTGATAAAATGGAAGAAGGGAAAATTTTCTAGCTATTGATGATACTTATCAAGCAAAGAAATTCTGGCAGAGCTCAGTTTTCTGCAGTAGAGAACCAAAAGCAAAAAAGAAAGAGGTTTTGTTGAGAAAAGCGAATGAATGATGTTTAAATGAGTACATTCAAGAATAAGGTAATCTGTGATTAGATTGAGCTGATGCTAAAACGGACAACGTGAAATTTGGGACAATCTATAAACGGAAATGAAAAAATTCAATAAAATTCAAACAATCATCAAGTTGACGATAATAGATTGCCGTTGACCGGAGACAGATTAATAAAGGCACGTAAATGCGAACAGTTACAATTATTCTTTTACTGTAATATTACTTCTATCACTACAATGCACAATTGCTTCACTTTGATAGAAAAAAGGTTGCAATTCGCAAATATTCTGTTGGTGTGAGATACAAGCAACCTTTCAAGTTTGATTAGCACATTAGTCCTTGCATTAGACAGGAATAAAATGGAAGGGAGATTATTGGAAATATCAGAGGGTTCTCTTCTGCCGTTTCTGGGTCCCTGCTGTGAATTGATGGCGCAAGAGAGGAGTTTGAGGGTCATTTTAATCCGTGGAAACGAGGTCCTGAAGGGGATTAGACATTTCTAGACACATGCGCCCGATAGCTGACATTATCACATAATGGGAAACAAGGATTTTGCAGGATATTTTCTAAAAATGCAGCCGAAATAATTCAAATTCAAAAGAAAACTGTTGTAAAATATTGTATAATATAATAATACAATATTGTATGTCGTTTGCATCGAATCATATGCACCTGCACCTTTGGAAGCTGGCATGTCCGAAATATAAATTCTGAAACTAATTGCAAACGGCTTGCTAAGCCGTATTATACAGTGCTGGCCAAAACTATAGATCCACTATAAAAAACTGCCGTAGTTCATCTGCTTTTTAACGAATTGATCTGAAATTTGGTACAGCTGTGTGTTCAACAGGCTTTCATCAGTGACCGGAGCGGATCCCGCTTTCGTTAGATTATTCAGGAGAAAAATCAAAAATTTCGAAAAAAGCAGGCTCGAAGGTTGGCCAAAACTATAGATCCACCTAAAATTTTTGTCCGCTAAAGTAATTCTCGACTTCCAAAGTCTTTTGTGCATATACATAGTCGAAAGTCAAAGCAGTGGCTTTAGTCCAGCTGCGACATACTTTAATAAGAAACGCTTATCTGCTCTTTTTACTTAAAAAATACTTTCACGCGTTTTTGTTCCCGAGAATGTGTTCTTATGGCTAATTTCGCAGTTTCTTGACTGGTTTGGAACCGATAGGTCTCCATCCATCTTATAGATGCTCAGCAGTGTGAGCAGTAAAAAAAAATTCGAGTTTTCGTATTCAAAGCGCACCCGACATAGACTTAGCCGCGGGCCTGCGCTCGAATTTTTGCCTTCAAAATTGGTGTACGCTATTTTTGCAAGCTCAAAATGATGTAGAAACATTATTTAGCATTATTTACACAAAAGAAGTTTGCAAGTCATAGTCACGATTGTTCGCGAAGTCGCATTTCAACACCTTTTCAAAGCATAAGTCTTGCGGTGTGTTCGGCAATTTCAAAGTACTTACTAAATGGTACCTTCCTTGAGTTTTGCCATTGTTTAGCTGCTAATTAGTGAATACACCCTCTACTGTATGTTGTCTTGTGACTCACATAAGCATTATGATCAGAACCAGAAATAACTTTGTGGCTTGTTGCAAATCACTTTTTTGCAGGATGAAGTCCTCAGTTAGCATGCATAATGGGATCTGCATAGACCTGCAACCACTGCATACGCACTCTAATACATACCAACAATGTCATTACTCCAGTTCACGCTCATGACAACAATCCAGAAAGAGTTTGAAGGGAAAAATTCGAGCGAAGGCCCGCGGCTAAGTCTATGTCGGGTGCGCTCTGAATACGAAAACTCGAATTTTTTTTTACTGCTCACACTGCTGAGCATCTATAAGATAGATGGAGACCTATCGCTTCCAAACCAGTCAAGAAACTGCGAAATTAGCCATAAAAACACATTCTTGGGAACAAAATACGCGTGAAAGTATTTTTTTAAGTAAAAAGAGCAGATAAGCGTTTCTTATTAAAGTATGTCGCAGCTGGACTAAAGCCACTGCTTTTACTTTCGACCACGTATATGCACAAAAGACTTTGGAAGTCGAGAATTACTTTAGCGGACAAAAATTTTAGGTGGATCTATAGTTTTGGCCAACCTTCGAGCCTGCTTTTTTCGAAATTTTTGATTTTTCTCCTGAATAATCTAACGAAAGCGGGATCCGCTCCGGCCACTGATGGAAGCCTGTTGAACACACAGCTGTACCAAATTTCAGATCAATTCGTTGAAAAGCAGATGAACTACGGCAGTTTTTTATAGTGGATCTATAGTTTTGGCCAGCACTGTATACTCACTGGAAGCACAAAATAGAAATATAGAATAATGCTAATGTTAAAATCTGGATATGGTTTTCGATAAAGATTTATAATTGCGTAGTCGTTCATTCAGAACAAAATCAATTTTTTTATGAAGATGCATCTCTAAACTAGTTGATCTAAGAAGATGGGCGATATACTTTTACCTCCACTCCCCCTCCCCCTCCTCCCACATCTCTTCTTACAAGTCATTGTCATTCGTTCTGTCAACTTCACACAGCATTTGATTTGTGCCAAGGGACTTTTCTCAAGGGTTCCCTTTGAACTTTTTCAGATTGAGCTACAAATACTGAACCTCTTCATCCTTCTCATCTCCTTCTTGGAGATATTCCAAAATTCTCTCTGCGATAGCATCTTCTTGAGCACCAGGAAGCCTTTGCTAAATGTGTGCAATTTCACACTGGAAGTGAATCCATAGATCATTTACTTGCCCTGGTAAAAAGACGAACTTGAGGTTCATCAACAGACATGCTTTTCTCTGGTAGTGGGAGCACGAACTACCACTTTGAAGGCGATCAAGCAGAGAAATGAGTGTTACTCTAATTTGCAGAACTCAAAGTAAATGGATCACTGTTTGTTTACATGTTGAAAAAAAAACTCTATTTTGCTTCAAAACCTAAAGTTGGTGGTCTCTCAGCAAGCGAAAAAATGTGGTGAGACTGACGAGAGAGGAATCAAAATGGCCTAAGAGCCCACATAGTTACGCTTACCAGGAACGATCGAGCTTCTGTACAAATTTTTTGATAATTTGAGTAGTGTCGCAAATCTCTAGACGAAGCTAACTTCTATATTTGTATATTATCAGCCCAAATCACGTTTCAAGAAAAGCAGCGTATATTTTTGGGACAACATTGGTTTTTTTCCAAATAGTCAGGGTAAGCACACATCCCAAATCACGAACTTATACAGTGCTGGCCATAGCTAAAAAGCCACCCCAAAAATCACTGTAGTTTGCTCTCTCTCGCTCAAAATTGTCTAAAAAACCACTATTCTGTGTGCGAACTAACGTCTTATCGCTAACCAGAAGGGCTCCCGATTTCATTGATTTTGGCCGAGAAAAATTGAAAATTTTGAAAAAACGAGCTCCCAAGGCTGGCCATAGCTATAAAGCCACCTCTCATTTTTAATCAGTACTATGTTTTTTGAACCTGAAGTTTTTTGTACATATACAACATCAAAATATGAGACATTTGTTACACTTGCAACCAGTCGCCTTTTCAAAAAGAAGATTTATCCTGCATTTTTTGCTTCAAAATGTGTACAAAGTTATAATGTTTGGAAAAACTGCCTTTTCACAGAATTCTCAAGCATTTATTTGACTCAAATGAAGGTCCTAGGCTTCGCTGAGCCTTTGCAATGAGTATGGTGAAAAGCGCAGGAGTCAACATGGCGTAGTCGCTGGTATTGATGAACGAAGCTCAATCTTACCTAGGTGTAAGCGCACTTCTGAAACGCGAATCTCGATTTCTGACGCGCGAAAATTTTCGCTTGAAAGTTAACACCTTGTTTGCATGGTGAGGTACTCATGCAGAAGCTGTCAGGGTTTTTACAAAGAAGTATTTGCAGCATTGAACTCTGAACGCTTTGTCTGCAGTTCGGTTGTGCGCAGTGTGTCTCACATGACTTCAAATTTTACTGCTTTGAACTCCTCTTCAAGTGAAATCTTACAAAACTGTCAGGAATACTGAAATTTTGAAGTTTTGAGCGGTTTTCCGCTCGATCGAGAGGTCGGAGTGTGCCACGATCTGGCAGAGTGCACCACTCATTTTTGGCAAAAAAAAAGCGTTTAAGGCGGAACCAAAATCCTGAGAGTTGCGATGACGTTCAAGCTATGCGCACGAGTCCATCGTTGTAAAGGCGACGTGCTGAGCACGTGACAGAGCTTTTCGGGCATTAGAACTCAATTTCTCCGGTTCGAAAACTCGTCGACCTGGAGGTGAGGTTGGGGCTCGTTTATCAATATCAGCGACTACGCCATGTTGGCTCAAGCGCTTTTCACCGTAGTCATTGCAAAGGCTCGGAGAAGCCCAGAACTTTTATCCGAGTCGAACAAGTGCTTCAAAATCCAGTGAAAAAACAGTTTTTTAGAGCAATGTGACTTTTTATGCATTATAGAGCAAAAAATGCGGATGAATCTTCTTTTAAAAAAGGCAAGTGCTTCAAAATGTGGTACATGTTTTATATTTTGATATTGTATATGTACAAAAAATTTCATTCTCAAAAAAACGTAGTACTGGTTGGAAATGAGAGGTGGCTTTATAGCTGTGACCAGCCTTGGGAACCCATTTTTTCAAATTTTTCAATTTTCCTCGGCCAAAATCAATGAAATCGAGAGCCGTCCTGGTCAATGATATGACGTTAGTTTGCACACAGAATAGAGGTTTTTCAGACAATTTCGAACAAAAGAGCGCAGATTACAGTGATTTTTAGGGTGGCTTTATAGCTATGGCCAGCTCTGTAGAAGTTGTATTAGAAGTTCTCATTATACGAAAAGGACGACAGTGATGATTTATAGAGCCAATGAAATAGGGATTACTATAGAAACTTGGTTCATCAAGACGGAGTAGAAAATCAAACAAAATAACAAATGGTCCATAAAATAGGAAAAAAATAATGGACGTTCAAATATCAAAGATAAGACGGGCATAAATGATTAGAAAAAAAATTTATAGGACATTGAAACTATTCAGATAACGTGAAAAATTTATAAGATGTACGAAAGGAGTGCAAAAAATCAAATTGCAAAAAAAATCGAAGCAAATTGGTTGGATTGGAGAAAAAATTACTTCATGTTCTTTACGTTTTGGTAAATGAATTAGATGAAATTTTTTGATTTTTTGACAGAATAGAAGAATAATGTGTTTCAGTACTAATCCTTTTATCTTCCTTTGTCCTCTCGGGTACAAATCTAATGTAAATCAAGAAATGTTCCGATACATTCATAATTCGGAAATGCTAAAAATTTGCTGATTGCATGATTTCTTCTTACTCTGCAAACTAATCTTTGTGTACTTTTAAGCTTATTTTATCGCTGTCAAGCGAAATAAGAAAGCGCAAAACATAATGCAGAGAAGTTAAGAGGAGCCTGGGAACACTTAAGATCTTACATAACAGTAAGATTGATTCAGATCAGGTTTGTTTGTTTATCGGCGATGCCATTGTTTGTGTTGGCTAGCAACTAGTTGGCAATTAGTCGATAAGAAACTTGCCGCCAAATTTATGATTTACAGCGATTGTGAATATTTGTAGAGAGTTATTGAATAATTCTGAGAAATATAGAAAAGCACGACCACTACGTGATGGCACGAATCCGTAAATGTCAAAAAAATTATATTAGTTGACGATTTTTTGATCTAGAGAGTATAAGAAAATTTAGGTAGGTCAGGAAGGCTCAGTCACGGCAAGAAGATCGAAACCTAAAAGGGAAGACAAAAAGCAAAAAAGTAGCACCCTGAGTTGAAAAAATATTTTGGTTGAGAAGGAGTGAAGAAGAAGGCTGAAGCTCAACTTGAATCGACCATTTACGACGAAAATGTCGACATTTTTAAGATAAGAAGAGATTTTTCGAGAAAAAACAAAAGAAAAAGAGCAGAGTACTGCTTCGCACGTTCAGTATTTGACATAGCAGCAATAAATCTGAGTATGAGGATGAAAAAACGGACGGCATGGGAACTGCCGTGTGGCGTGTTTGCCGCTCGTCACAGCAATCGCTGAGCCCGGTTGAGTTGTCCGAACGACTGACGTTCAAACACCAAAGGTCGTCTGTGCAATGGTAAAACAGGCGTTGTTTCTATAAAAGTACAGTTTGGGCTATTTCTGGTGCTTGCGGGGTTCAAAAATCTTTTTCGAAAGTGCATGAGCTGCTGCTTTGAGGGTGTAATTACCTAACTTTTCTTTTTGATAGAGCTTTTTGCTCCACTAGCTTGTCTCGAAAGTTCTCGGATATTGCATTTAAATAAATTTTTTTCTAATGTAAGCACTGATTAGCGCACATTGCACAATTGCTGGGTTGAGAAAAGCAATTTCTACTAAATTATGGTAAGCACAAGCATTATCTATGTTTTCTTTGAAAATTCAGGTAAAAATTCCAAAGCAGAATGTTTTGACCTAATCCCGATCTTCAAGTTTTGAAAACGTTTTAAAACCCTTATAAGCTCCAATTTATAGTACAAACAATTTACATAGGTCAAAATTTTCTTACATGCACAGTTTGTACGGAATGTGAGCTCAAAAATAAGAAAAACGGAGTAATTGAAAAGGGGCAAACTCGCCCCTTTTGATCTTAGGCTCCTCCCACTTGCTCAAATATCAGCTAAGGCGAGAGCGAGTACAGCTGCAGATTTTTGAGGATGTATAGCAAATTAGTTTTTGAAAAACAGCAAATTTGATCTGAGAATGTCCGAACTCTCGAGCCAACCTAATATTACAGTCTGAAAAGGTCTCATTATCTTATTTATTTACCATCTCTGTTTACTGAAGACTATTTGAAATCACAATCTGGCTAAAATCCATTAGTTTCCTCTAACTACAGAAGTGTTGAAAATAACAAACGCGCAGAAAGTGAACTTTAGTTCAACCCAAAAAGTTAAACTTTAAAAAAATCAATTTAACTTAGCTTGAAAACAGACACCATATTTAACCTATAATTCTCTTATGACAGGTATTTGTGCGCTTTTGATTATTACTTGTTCTGTTTATTTACTTATTTATTTACTTGCTGAGCTATTTGTTTATTAGCTGCGCTTATTTGCAGAATTGGAAATCTTTCGGAATTAAATATTCAAAATCTCTTAACTATAGAAAAATTCTGAGATACAAAAGCACCCAATTAGCTTTGTTGACAGTTTATTGTTTACTCGTCTTACTTTGTTTACTGCGCGCTTATCTTAAGCAGTGTGCTATAGTGATGAGATACAATAGCATGGCATGCTAGACATTGTGGAGATTGCAGACTGAGTTTCAAAAATGAATTTTTCCTAAATATCAATTTTCATTGAGTTAAGTAGTATTTATCTAATTTTTGATTTTTACACGATTATTCCATTTATTTATTTTTATTCGTTCACTCACTAGATTAGAGGTACATGACTTGCTTGACATCTTGGATAATAACATAGAAATAAAGTTCTCCTAAAAAACTCAAAATCGTCAATTTCTCAAGGTCGCCCTGCAACCACTCAAGGCCAGAAACAGCAGGAAAATTTTCTATTTACAAAGATTGAGCAGTAAAAACCGGTCCTTGTCACTCTGTGTAACATTTCGTGCACTTTCTGTTCTTTTCACAGCCAGCAACAATTGAAAAGCAATAAAAAGAGAATGCATCATATGTTTGGAAAAATATCGATAGATTTACAAGTTTTTACACGGATTTTGATACACTGAACGAAAAATCTCCATAATTTCCCCAACAATTTTTTTGATTACCATGCGGAATGCTTTGGATTTTTTGTATGTACTCGTCAAACACGAA